AAAAAGAATCTAAACTTTAACAAAAATATTGTAACAAAAATGCACAATAATAGATATTCTTGTTTTGACTATGACGTGGTGTGTGGCTTCAACTTCCTTGCTGAAGTTACGTTAACATTCAATACGACGCTCTCCCAACTGAGCTATCCCCACTTTATTACTACAGATGATGTACTATAATATATTTATACTAATATTTTATTTTTGTCTTGAGTAGATTTTTGTAATAAATTTAACCCTTACATGACACAATAATATATTACTCAAGAATTATGTGGGTTGATTTTGGACAAATTTTTAGACGTTTGGTAGCATAAACATTAAACTAACGAAATTAACGGTAAAGATTTATAATTAGACATACTACTAAAAACTCATAGATCTATTAGAATATTTTTAAGTATAATATTAAATAGACACGAATTTAATGTTTGGAGACACAAAAACTTTTTAAAGTACGACTAGGACTAAATAGAGGCAACCTTAAAAATTCATCATCAAAATTATAATTTAACATTAAAATAATTACAATGAATTTTTTTAATAATAGTTACAATAAATTGATCATAGTTATTGGCTTGTTTTTAATTTTTATAAATTGTTTGGGGGTAAAAATATTGTGGACACGTGGAGGACGCTCAGTGGTGTTTACAAATAAAAGAGTATTCCAAGTCCACCTCGAACCTGTCGAGGAGACCGAATTTGTCCGTAAACAAGGCTAAGTGTAAAAAACCGTGGTTCGACCTGGACGGGTTCGATATGCTCAAACCCGACAGGTTCGACATGAAAAAGACAACTGTCGGACCCACCACCTATAAATAGAGGGCCTCATTTCAGGTTCAGGTATCGAATTTCACCTCGAACTTAATATTGAATCCGACCTATACTGACTTGATCGTCGGAGAGTTTGCCCTCTTGTGCAGGTTCACTCCACGGTTCAAGTCGTGCTAGAGACCGGGTTCGAGCTAGGTTCGTAAACGTCGTTGTGCAATTCTTTGCATAAACATAAATTATAATCTATAGATGAATAATTTTTTCAAGAAAATTTCTATTTTTACCTTTAAATTGAACTTATGTGTGGTTGACTCAATTCCAACCTTAAACTTTCAATTCCATCCATTTAAATTCTAACTTTACCAACTAAAACATAACTCAACAGATTAAGATACCTATTTCCGATTAAAAGGTCGTGAGTTCAAATCCCCCACCACATCCACATGTTTACTAAAAAAATCTCACTTGAATAAGTGTAGGAATTTACGGTTCGAATCCTCACTTAAAGTCTCCAAAAAATCATTTAAAAAAATTCTTGATCAATATCTAATCTTAAACGAGATCTTAATAATTGTTACAACATTTTAAAAAGTTTTTTTTAATAATAACTGGGAGTCGGAGCTTTGCTACCCTATACTCAGGGGCACCCCATGCCCGTCCTAAGACTCGAACCCAGGAAACATAAAAAATTTTTAGTATTAAACTCGTCGTAAAGTTGGAACTTGAGACCTATAAACTAACATAATCAAAATAGCTGCTAAATTTCAAAGAGCACTTCATGCAAAGAAGGATGAGGTTGGAATGATTAAACCAAATTTATCAGTGATAGTTGAGTTACCTCGAAGCTATTATAAAGGTGAATTTGCGATGACTTATGGGAAAAATATGTATTTTACTTCTATGACACTTGTGAAAAAAGCAGTCGTTAACTGCTCTTCTTAAAAGTAGTTTAGAATTTTCAAAATTATTTTTTATTATCTAATCAACCTACAAAAATTTTGAAAAGTGCTTTTAATGAAATAAAACAACTTTTCACCTCTCTCTCAAACAAAACAGAGGCTCAACTCGAGTACCAGTAGAGATGTAGCTTGCCATCACCACCACAACGTTTTCGTTTATTATTTCTTGTATCTAATTATATTAAGAAATTCAAGCATTGACGTTTATTATTTCTTGTATCTAATTATATTAAGAAATTCAAGCATTTAACAACTATTTATGCTTCTTGTTTCTCTTTTCTAGAAACATTATCAAATTATCTAAAAATTTTGGAAACAACAAAAATACAAACTCATTTAACAGCGTTTCCGTTTCTTGTCTCTGTTTCTTCATTTTAATAAAGAAAAATAGAATTGTGTAGCCCAATACCCATGAATTCAAGGATGATCAAATAATATTTATATTCGTATATAGTAACAAATTGGAAACATAAACCAGAAATAAAAAACTTATTTTAATTGTTTCCAAAATTTATATACAATTTTGAAAATGTTTCAAAAAAAAATGAGAAACAATAAACATAATTGATTACAAAAGGCTTAAGTTTCTTAATAAAATTTAGAAACGAGAACGAGAAACAAAAACATTACCAAATGAATCCTAAGTTTCTTGTTTTTTTCCTGTTTTCAATTATTTCCCGAACATAAATAAAAATATTCTTTTATCTTTATTGACTTATAAAATGCATAATAAATATTAAAAATTAATAATAACAAAAAGAATTGAATATTTAATTTAAAAAATAAATTTTCATATCAATTTTTTACTTTTTGAATTAAAAATTTGATGGTTACCTTCTTTTTCAATAATAATAATAATAATAATAAAGAATTAGAAATAGTTACCAAATACAATAATGACTTTATTCAAGTAACAAGAAATGAGAACGATATAAAATGGGCCGGAGGAACTCAAAGATGAAATATACGGAGGGCACACCACAATACAGAATAGAAGTGCTAACAGATCATGACTATGGAACCCCAATTTAAACTAGGTAACTTGGTTTTGCTACCATCGACTCCACAACTTTATCACAAGACAGTTAATAGTTGAACCAGGTGAACGGTTCGGGGTTATGCCACGAGCTACCAAACCGAAAACGGATTAGATGTACTCATACAATGGAAGGAGTTACTGTCCTCTGAAGCCATTTGGGGAGCATCTTCCAACCAGATCCAATGATAATTGCCATCCTTCTAGCCTAGGGAGCAAGGTGCAACTTTGAGCTAAGGTTAAATGATAAAGCCTCCACCAATGCAGTGCCGAGCAGAGAAACCAAAGAGAGATTTAACAAAGAGCTCGGCAGAATCCAGGGAAGAAACAACAATGCCATCGTGTCGAGCGCACAAACGCATATTTAGGCAACAACAATTAGCTACATATCAGGAATCAAATGCAGGGTAGACCCAGAGCCCAATCTTTTTCCTGCTATAATCCTGTATTGTAAGAAATTCTAGGGAACTCCTTTTGAGAGAGCTAACCATAATCCCAAACATCTCTTTCCTTTTTTTTCCGGGTCGAGGCCTCTCAACCTTAAAGCACCCAGATCCATTTTCGATGACTTAGGAACCCAACAATCTTTCACCTACATTTAGAAGGGTGGTGCATGCTATGGTTGAAACCAATACCAGGAAACTGATGAAGAGACGATGAAAGGCTGGAAGAGGTTGATAAGGTAATTGATCATAATCCTCTCCCGTTTGAAACAACTCATACATGAGCAGTAAACATTTGTACTAAAAAATCTAATATATATATATATATTCTCCTTCAACCGCTATCACAGAGCACCAGAAGTTACCAACTTACCACAAATGTTCTGGGAGGAAAAAGAAAAAAGAAAAGGAAACAAAAAAACTCGAATATTTCATACCCGTGCACTCTCTACAGTCCAACCAATGGAATAAAAAAAGAAACTCACAGGTAGGAATTTTTTGGCAACTGCACCGTTCTTCAATGAAACGCATTCATGCCTATCAACAAAAGACAGACAGAGCATACGTCTTGAATGAAACTAAAATGGCAGAGCAGTTACTACCCTTCATTTCTATGATATGCTTCTTACATATTGGTCAAGACTTGTATTGAATAACTCACACCTGTAGAAAGAAAAATCAAATCAATAATCGAGGGATTGTCGCTAGTGTGTTGCGAGGACAAACAAGAATGGTTTCATTTTCATCCTAAAAACTATGTCATCGCAAGCATGGTTGTTTGAGGGGGGTGGTATAAGTCCATAAAAAATATTTTGTAACATTTCTAATCTTTTGTTGAAAAAAGTAGACAGAAAAAATTAACAAAAGGAGGTATATTACCCAATGTATGACTGTCTCGTAAAAGAAGGGTTAAATTAACATTTTAGTCGTATAGGTTGAATTTGGTTTCAATTTGGTTTATATAGTTTTAAAATTTTCATTGTGGTTCCTATAGCTCGGTTAAATCTCCCAAAACTGTCTGTACCATTATTAGATAATAGTTTTCTTATGTGACTCTTTTTCTTAAGACGTGCAATGAGCTGCCATTCAATATAAGGTATCTCCTGAAGGTTTGACAACATTCTGGTTTGGGTTGGGTAAGAAATAAAGGAAAGCAAGTTGTGCAGCCGACCTTTTAGTCACAAGTTGCCCCACTTCCCATTTATGAAAAAGCCCGAACCCATCCAATTTCTTTTATTTTTTTTACTAAACTTTAATACATTCAGCCAATTTAACCTTCACACATTCTTTAAGCTATTCGACAAACTAATCGACTTTACACACACACAATAAAGGACAGCAAGTTGTGCAGCCCACTTTTAGTCACAAATTGCCCCACTTCCCATTTCTGAAAAAGCCTAGTCACCAAAAAACAAAAACCACCAATTTTCTACACAAACTCGTTTCCTCTTTAACTAAGAACCCATCCAGTTTCTTTTAGTTTTTTACCGAACTTTAATACGATAAGCCAATTTAACCTTCACACACACACATATGTGACGTAAGAAAACTGCTCTGCTAATATATGGTAATTGCATAGAAATTTTGCGAGACTTAACCAAACCATAAGGACTTTCTAAAACCATAGGAACCAAATTAAAACCAAGCTCAAATCACAGAGACTAAAGTGGTAATTCAACCTAAAGGAGAATCTAGTAAAGCCTAAAAGATCCCTAAAAACACCTCGAAGGCGTACTTAAAATGCTATAGTTAAAGTGCAAGCACCGAAGATAAGTTTCCTTATGCCAGACTTCATTTGATCATTACTAAACTGATACAAATGGATGCATACACTACAAAGTTCAATTCATAAAAAATATTGATTTTATTTTGCAAGAGTTCAAACAAAATTTCTTTGAATCAAACATACTGTTGGTATATAGGAAGTATGCACAGTCAAAGCTAACGAGTAACAATTTACCTGATTGGGGTTCCTGGACTGTAGAGTGGATTTTTCACTACATATTCAACATACAAGTTGTAGATGTACTTTAATGAGTCTCTTAGATCACTGGTTCTAGGATGGGTAACCAGAATAATCTGAAAACAAGGAAATAATCCATCAATGCTCCAAAATTGAACTGTTGACTAATTTATCAATCTCGAGCGATACGACATTATACTATTATAGTTCATGGCCAGGATTCCATTTTGCATCACTGGTTAATTGTTTTTAAAACGCAGTGACAATTAAAACAGCAGTGTCACACGGCTTCTTCCAAAAGTCCAACTTTAATTCTTCAAGGAAAAACAAGAAACAAAAAAGGAGGAGGTCCTTTCGTAGTACTAACTATCACCAAGTAAACTGAACATTATAAGAACAAGACAAAATCCAAGAACATTTAACAAGGTTCAAATGAAAACTTAAATTATCCATGTAGCACAACAGGTTCAGAGAACACAAACTAATAACAATCACACAGAACAAATATTGGTTTCATTAAATCTCAAATATTCATATCTAGTTTGCTCCAGACGATGCATTAGGTCTGGGTTGATTGTGTCATATATCAAGATATTTAAATCAACTATTCAAGTAGACATGCATTAAACTACAGCGGCAAATATAGAGGAGAGTAGAGGGAGAAAGGTTAAACCAACCTTTATCCCTGATGGAGTTTCAGTAAAACTGAGCTTGTAGGTATTTGTACGAAAACTGTGAAACGAACAACCTTGGCCAGGTAACTGAGGCACCCCAAGATTGCCTTTATCAGTACTGTACCAAAAAATGAAAAAGAGAAAGCTATAACTTCAAACCAAACTCCGAACGCAGCTCATCATTCTTCGATGAGGTACGACTTTAGAAAATTCAAGATAAAAAACTACAATCAAATAGTAATTGCTACCAACCATAAAATATAGATGCGTTTGTCAAGTTATTAAGACAAAAATATGGCTCGTATCACTCCTATCCTGTTGGATCATTCCTTAAACTAGGCACGCCATACACAAAAGTAATTTCCCAGTGAAGGAAGAAAAATAAACCTGGTTGGGTCCATCTTGGCAGTAAAGGATCTGAGCGAGAAGAGCAAACCAAACATAAGTTTGTGGTCTTGCTGGGGATTCAATGTCCGGAGAGGCCGATTCCACTCCCTGTAGAACAAGCAAACTCCATTCCTATTGAAAATATACATCATATGCACATTGTTTCCTGTTGCTGTCGGGGCCGGAGGCGAAGGGCTAATCTCTGACCCACCAAAGAACTGCATGGTTTCTGGAACAAACTAAATCGAATCAAATCAGTTATCACGAGAAAATGGCCTACAAATATGAGATCCTGACAAAACCCCAACATTTTCACTCAACTCTACAATCAGTTGCCTAATGAAGCAATTAAGAATTCCGTTCTTCCCCGCTTCTCCACTGATCTAACTCGTTTTCCTTGGTGGGATCATGAGGGAGGTGATAAGAGAAAGCATAGATAATACAAGGGATCTAGTCTGGTAAAGGGGAAGAGAAAATAAATTGGAAAAATTACAATTCACAGGATCGTTAATGCAGCAGAAGCGTGTGAAATCTAGGCCGACCCAGATCCGGAAATGAAGTCAAGTGTCAAATTGGGAGTCGTATCATTCGGAGTTCCAGGGAAACGAAATGATACAGATAGCATAGCACAGAGAAAAGGGGGAAATTGCATAGAGTGTACCTGGACTGGGAACCTTGCTGATGGATCGGAGAAGAGACTGAGAGCAACGGAAATGGAGAGAAAATTCGTGATGGAGATGAACGGGGACGATCGATCCAACGGCGAAGCTCTTGATTCGTCAACAAATCGTTATCTAAACGATTATAGTAAACAATGGAAACTATCAATTTTTACCTCAGCTTTCCCACCCGTATAATTTTGCATACTTCCAATTTCATTAGATTGAATCAAATTTTGGATGAGCATTTCAGCTTTACTTGAACAATATTGTAATCTTTTATCTTAATTCTTAAATTTGAATAGAGAAATGAAATATCTCTTGAAAATTAATTTGTCTAAAAACGTATGCCATAGGGTTTTGAGTGAAGAAGGATATATTTTTTGTTCATATTTGTGAGTTTTGGTGTAATCATTGGACGGTCGATTTTGTGCTTTATTTCAACCTAAAACTTGATTTTTCATTCAAATTAATGAGAAATTTTTTTCTTCTTCGGTGCAAATTATGTGTCGGACCTGTGAAAGTTTCAACTTTTACTCTAAGACTTAGATAAAATTAAAAGTTTAAAAGTGAAAATTAAAAATTCATATTAAAATATCTATTTTCGACCAATAAAATTATGAATTCAAATTCTCATCCGAGCACCGTAAAAAAAAGATGAAAATTGAAAACTACTCCATCTCACTATTTATTATTATTCTTTTTTTTTTTGAACGAACTACTCCACCCCACTATTAATCCTAGTTAATAAATAATTTTTATACATTAGGGCAAGGGGTATAGCATTTTTTTCTATGAAGACTCCCCATTTAATATTTTTTATTTAACGTTTTTGCAGTTAATTGGTAATCGCCATGAGTCCATTTAAATTGCTAAATTACGAAAACAAATCAATTTAAATTGTTAAATACTATCGGATAAGATAGTTAAATTTAATCTTCAACCGATACTTTATTTGGAATTGTCACTTTTTTATAATTCAATTTTAAGTTAGAGATGCTTGTAATCCGTCTCCGTCATTAATTTAAAAGCAACGATGTTCTAATTTGTACTTTCAAAAAATGACATTCTAATTCATGGTTGACCCAAATCTATGATTCAATATGCATCCACCTATCTAAGTATAGCTTAACTAGTTTAAATATTTATCTCTGACCAAAAGATCGTGAGTTCGACCATCGGACCATCCCACATTTTTACTAAAAAAAATTTCAACTATTAAATTTTTTAAAATACTTGGTTAAAATACTATTTTGGTCCCTGTAATTTTAGTCTTGGTTCATTTTAGTCCCTTTCACAATGTTCATTTTGGTCTCTATATTTAACTTTGTTCATTTTTGTCCTTGTAATTTGAAAATATCTCTGTACTTTTAAAAATTAATTATTTTAGTCCATCTGCACAATATTTTAACACAAATTTTACACATAATTGAAACTATTTAGTATAAAGTAGTGTTTAAATTTTAAGAAATATATTGATTGTAATGTGGTGTTGGAATTGTGATAGAAAAAAACGAGATTTAAAATAAAATGAAAGGAATGAAATGATCACTTTTAAAAGTACAGATACCAAAGGAACATTTTTAAGGTATATTGACTAAAATGAACCAAAGCTCAAAGTACATAGATCAAACCAAACATTTTAAAATTACAAGGATTAAAATAAACAAAAACTGAAATTCCAGGCACCAAACTAATACGTTAACCTATAAACTTTTTATTTGATGTATGTATCTGATATTATATTTCTTTAAATTTTAAAATATTTAATATATTTTATGTACTTTTTTTTTTATCCTGTGATGCATAAATGTTTCAAATTCAATATATATATTTTTTTTTATGTGAGGATGAATATTTAACTTTTTAGTGGTCAAGGCTATCTCTTATCAAAAAAAATAATGAGTTCAAATCTTCATCTCCACATGTTGTATAAAAAAAACTTTCAACGTTTAGAAAAGGAGTAATATACTTTAACCATTGAATTTGGTTGCTTTGTGATTTCTAAATTTTTTAGACGAATCTAAGGGTGAGTTTGGGAGTGATGATAGAATAAGTAATTTTGAAAAAAATATTTAAGTATAATTAATTTTTTAAAGTCACCCTCCAAGTGATATTTTAAAAATTAATTTAAAGTGATTTTAAGCTTTCCTCTAAATTTTTTTTTAATTTTTCAAACATGATTAATGAAAAAATAAGTGATTTTGACCATAGAAAAAATGATTTTGACTATACCAAAATCACTCCAAAATACACACTCAAATTAGGAGATAAAATGTAAAACACTTTAAAATCTGGCATTTTTAATTTGCCCCATCTAATTTAGCAGTATTTGTAAAGTTCCTTAAATTATAATTTGGGCCAATCGTGTTGCTATTGGAGGCCCAAGTTGGGCGAATGGGCCTCCCATGGATAATACAAAACCCTTACCTGGTCTCTATCGTTGAAGAGTTTCCACTATAAAAAACCCTAATCTTCACAATTTCTCTGATTAGGGTTTTGTTCTTGGCCTTCGCCGTCGCTTCCACAGAGTGAGAGAGAGAGAGAGGGAGATATTCGACTTTAGGAAGAGATGAAGACAATTCTGTCGTCGGAAACCATGGACATCCCTGAGGGGGTGAAAATCAAAGTGAACGCGAAGATCATAGAGGTTGAAGGCCCTCGCGGGAAACTCACTCGCAATTTCAAGCACTTGAATCTGGATTTCCAGCTGATTACGGAAGAGTCTACCGGAAAGAAGAAACTGAAGATTGATGCCTGGTTTGGATCGAGGAAGACATCTGCTGCCATCCGCACGGCCCTTAGCCATGTCGAAAACCTCATCACTGGCGTCACCAAGGGATACCGTTACAAGATGCGCTTTGTTTATGCTCACTTTCCGATCAACGCCAGCATCACCAACGCCAACAAGTCAATCGAGATCCGAAACTTTCTTGGCGAGAAAAAGGTATCACTGTATCTCACTTTATTCTCATAAATAAGTCGCGCTATCTGGATTCTGGACTTATATTTGCTGCTGCATTTTGATTTTCCCATTATTCAGTGTTGAATGTTTGAGGGTGTAGTATTGGATCACTGCATTTCTGAACTAATTTATGTTGGAAACCCTTTGCAATCTCGTTTCTTGGGCCGATTGAATTACTTTCTTGCTCGGTATTGTTATGCATATTAGGTCTGGTCTTTTGAAGATGTGATTTAAAACTTTACATTTTTCTTGAAACGTTCTGAATATTAGAACCATATTTTAGGATAAATTACTCCTCGTTGTGCTCTCCAATTTAACCTATTATTTGTCTTTTATTGGTTGATAAATGTTTTTGAAAACACAGAATACAGTAAACAAGAAGATGGTGTAAATTTTAGTGACCTTGAAAATTGGATATCGAATTTTAATAAAAAAACCTTAGCTGTGCAAATACCTAATACGAGATACAAAACGCAGCCCATTTGATAGATTTAATGATCTAAACAAGCCAAAAACCTTTACCTAGAACTCAAAACCACCACTTGGCCTGCCAATACAAACCAACCAAAACAACAAAAGAAGACTTTACAATTAAAGACTACATAACAATTGACGAACAATGTCTTTTATGATAACACTATGAAAAGTTACAAATGGAAACATATTTTTAAGAGAGAGAAATCAAGAACAGTGGGTAAAGGATGGGCTCAAGTGGGGGAGATTCTCAGTGCGAGAAAGGATGGATGGTTGGGAGAAAGTGAAAAAGAGGATTGTCGCGGGGTGGGGGTGGAGAGAGGGCTTAGAGAGAGGGGGTGAGAGTGAGGATTCTCAGAGAGGGATGTGCTAAGAATAACAAAAACAAAAATGATTGTTTAGATTAAAGGCAGTCCTTTGATTGTTTCATCCAATGTCCAAATATCATAAAATCGAAACAAGTATCTTAATTGAACTGGTATATTCTCCAAATAACTTATAACCCCCTCCTTGTTTTTGTTCATTTCATATTTATTAATACAATTATTCCTTGTGAAAATGTTTGTAACTATTTTTATGATGCATGGATTTGATGTCTCTGTATTTTCTGTGCAATAGGTGCGAAAAGTAGAGATGCTTGATGGAGTATCTATTGTCCGATCTGAGAAGGTTAAAGATGAGTTAGTCTTGGATGGTAATGATATTGAGCTTGTATCTCGGTCTGCCGCCTTGATAAACCAGGTCTCTCTCTCTCTCTCTCTCACACACACATACCATTTTCTTGATTGAATCTTGCACAACTCTGCACTTGCAGAGGCATAACCAGTTTTATACTCAACTTTTTATTTCCTTCTGGGTTTCAGAAATGCCATGTGAAGAACAAAGATATCCGGAAGTTCCTCGATGGTATTTATGTCAGCGAAAAGGGAACTGTTGTGGAAGAGGAGTGATGATCGAGTTGTTCTGTTTGACCATGTTATATTTGACCTCGGCTTTGGGTAATAGTTTCTTCTTATATATTTATATTTGATTCGACAAATTCATGAAAGCTGGTTTTTGAAGGGGGGAAAAAAATATCGTAGACAAATCCATGAGCTTTTAGTTGGACGCTGATGTAATGGTTGATGGATTAAATGCCAGTTTCAATTGTCTTGTTGGTTTTGGAAGTTTTTTGTTTCTTGAAGGACCTTATTTTGTTCCTCTCTTTAGGGGAGAATGCTGCCCATGTTTCAATTTATAGTTAGTGTGGTTAAGCAAATTCTTGATTGTGGATGCAGTTTCTTTTTATTCATTTGGGCCATAAATTTTGCACTCCCTAATATTAACAATCAACTTACTAAATGGTTTTTCTTTATATACTGCAGCTAAGTTCCTTTTGGGGAAAATTGCAAAATTACCCTCACATTTTTTGGAGTTTTACAAAATTGACTTGTTATCTTTTTCTGGTTAGTTGCAGTTGAGTATTCGATTAGTGTTGTGAATGGAAAATGTTTGAATTCACAATTTAAATTCTTTTAAATTTTTGTTTAATGTTGTCTGTGCCTTAAGTCATTACTTGTAAATAGCTGAGATTGAGTTTTAGTGCTATTTATTTGGGATTTCATATCCTTTAAGTTTAATTGGTAACCAATGTAGTAGAAGTACGATTAGTAACTTAATTGGTAACTAAATGTAACCAAGTGTAGTAGAAGTAGGATGGTAAGTAAATGTAGTATGATTAGGACATTTATCAGGATTAAGTGGTTGTCTGGTAAGAATAGTCAAGATGGAACTTGCACTAATTATATTGAAAAAAACCAAGCCTTTACTTTTGTTCAATTAGTGTGGGGAAAATTTTGATTTCCGAGGTCTCTTATGTATATCTAACTTCTGTAAATATTAGAAAATTGTTCATTGAACCATATTATGTCAATATTCTAATAGTTGTCTTAGTCTCAAATTGAAGAATATATTTGTAATTTTTGTAAGTTTAATGATTAAATAGATATACATAGGTCGCGGGAGAGTCTGCGTTTGATCATTTCTTATTTTCCTTGGTTGTTTTGCTTTTGATATGTACTTCTAAAACGATTAAATAGCTCTAAAAAAAGATTAAATAGATATAGCGTCAAAATTTTGTAATTTAACCTAAATTTTATTTCCACGTTTTCAAGTAACAAATGTGTACTYATATTCAAAATTTTTGGTAAGCTTGAAAATGTGGAGTCAGAATTGTTTGGGTTTGGGGTGATTAAAAGTGTCACTATTAGAATCATCTTTCAAGTATTTTTGGAAAAATGATATTTTAACCAATTTACTTTTTTAAATCTTTTCTATTACTACTAAATATTGTAAAATATATAAAATAAAGCACTTGTTAACCGTCTAAAATCACATCGGGTCAATTATTCCATGCTTATAAATATATTTTTTTAATTTAGAAAATACTTTTTTTTTTTTTCTAACAGTCATTCTAAACACACTATTAGTCAATAATGACCACGTAGATTCAAATGCTACTTAATAATGCTAAGATTATATTAGCGAGCTACTCAGGTGATTATATAGTAAACGGTATTGGTTGAATATGAAAATAATAACCAAGTGATCTAACTAACTCTTGTAGAATGTATATAGTTTATGGCTTCTAAAAAATGTACCATATTTTAGAGGCCGATCATCAAAGAACATCACAAGTGCAGATCATAGTAGGATCATAAATCTAGAAGCAGATCATCAAAGAAAATCACAAGCTTAGAGTTTGATCATCTTCAGCTTAGAGTTTGATCATCTTCGTAAATCTTATGTGAATAACTTTACTTTTGAATATTTTCCAAATGGAGGGTAGATTATATTTAGTATTACTTAAAAAAACTACTCTATTTTAATTTAGAAATGTTTTTTTCTTAAATACATTATTCTTGAAATTAGTCCAATAACAAAGGGTTATCATCACCACTAAGCCCTGATATAACTTAGTTTTCTACCACTTATCTTGTTCATCTTCTATATCTTTGATATCAAATTCATGTTGTATAGTTGCAAATAGATCTACAAACTCTCACGTTAACAATATTTTTTTGGTCAATATTATTTTGCACACAACTGCATTCCGAATGTCTTTAAATTTTTTCCTAAATCATAGATATGTACCATTTTAATTAATCTTATCGTCCTCTTTGATGAGTTTCAATCTTTTGCATTGGTGAATGATGTTTTCTTCATTTGTAAATAACGTCTCAAACTTGTCAATGCAAACGTAAGACCAAAACATCTAACTTTGACCTAACAATTAGTGTCCAAATAAAACCAATGTAAATCTCTTTTAAGTACTAAAAAGTTAAAAAGTGAATAACTTTCGTAGTAGGACGAATCAGTCATTCCACAAAACAATCATTTCTAACAATAAATCGTTGTCTATTTCCAAACTCKGTTACCTATGATTGCTAGCCCAATTGAATAAAGAGATTGGTTTCTCTGGTTTAAAATTACCCACGTTAATATAGCCGTAAACTTCATTTTTATTAAAAAGTTGTAGATATAGCATAGAGAGAGTGAACTCTACCCTCTAGAAAATCTTTTATCGTCCAATATTTCCAAAGTTTTCCTATCCTCCCTACATCTCCACCACAAATGACATATTCATTTTGGTTGATGTGTAAATTTCGCTTAATGGAATTACCAAATTCACACCACTCTTCTTAAAATAAAGAGATTACACATGGATGTAGTGCTAACAATCACGCATGCTTAAGTCAAAATCCAGTTGTATGTAGAGTCTTGCACGAGTTAGATTTTGTAACTATCTCATTCTGAGATATCTCTCTATTTATAGAAGGAGAAGACCTAATGCTAGCTCCTCGATTATATTACCTTCTTCCTTTAAATTCCTTTTCTATTGTGATTTGAATCTCGCGCTCAATCCATTATCAATAGAGGAGGAATTGATCGAACTTGAAGGCACCACTAGACCACTTCTATACAAGCACCAATCCATGGGCTTGTCGGCACCCATGGGTTGGTCGGTCTTTTGTCTACTAGTCGGCCTATGGACTAGTCAATTGTAGGCCTTGGTCCTTAGGTCGGACCTATTGTTGGATCTTAGCCTTCAGGCTCTTGGCTAGTCCTTGAGGTTCTATTTAGGAGCTTAGCTGTTCGGTGGCTTGACTCATATTTGTATCTATTTCTAGTCTTGATTCATGTGGCTCGTGCGTATGACGCGTACAATTTGATATTACTCTAATAATATCAACTCTCCTCCCTACAAATTGTCCATTTGAAATGGTAAATTTACCTTTTACATCCTCCCAAAAAATCTCTTTAGAACACATCAAAGGAGAGATCTTTGGGTGAATAATTTTGTCTCAATACCCTTTCAATGTTTCTGAAATCCCAGCCGTGCCCTTAATCCAAGATTAGTTATCTCCATTGTTAATTTAATTAACAAAAATTGTTTGTAAAATAAAACTCTTCAATAATTTGTTTCCAACTAAACACTAAATACATATATTTGTTTATAGATGGATATAGTACAAGTTGACAACTTGAATCTGATCTGACAATGTCTAATTAAATTAACAAAAACAAAACTAAAACAAATTGAAATAAAATATATTTGACCAACTCTCATATCTAGGAAACTGAAAAAAAAAAGGAAAAATTGACTTTTGTGAACCGACATAAAGAGTATCTTAGGATTATGTTTCCAAACCTCTCTGTGGTCGACATCTGTCTCTCGCTCACACTCACAGTTTCTTTCCACCTTAGCTGTCCCAACTTTTTTCCACGTATATAAAATATGGCCTTTCCCTTCCATTTTGCACAGACTAGTAGGCCCCACTCCCTTCTTTATTATATCTAAATTTTCGTCGACACGTCATCATATGTCAATAGATTAACAGCGATGTAAAAACTGAATTGACATTTAAATTATACCGTAAAAAGATCGGTCAAGTCTCTTAACCTCCCATTTAACTTTATCAAGCGTGATGAAAATAGTGCCGCACAGAGGAAGATAAAATTTCGTCATCCTCAAACTGTGGAGGGTACTCGAGGATACTTGATTTATAAGGTTGTGATGTCTAGTCATAGCGTTTCCTATTTTCTTAAAAAAGAAAAAACATAGAAAACATGTCGATATTATTGATATAAATATGATATCTTTTTAATAGTAAATACGATATTATTAATAATAAACTTTAATTTATTTAAAAGGCATAAATTTTCAATTTATTAATTTAAATACTTTTATGGTTTCTTTATTTTAATGAGTCTTTTTTTTAAAGAAATATCCATCAACATCGATATTTTATTAATATTTTCATAAAATTGAGACGTCGATATTTTAAATTTGATTTAACTTAACTTTGATTTTTTCATTAAAAAATTATATCAATTCTTATCAATGAAATTATCATATCAGATTCACCTGAAGCGAYGCTAAGAAAGCGATTAGGATGAGACTACTTGACCAGATGAGACTCGACCTTACAAGGATGAGATCTCTCGACCAAACCAGACCCAACCTAACTAGGACATATCACACTCAACCGACTAAACCTGACCTAATCAAGTTGGGCCACCCAACCTGGTCAGCAGGCATGACCTGACCTGACCAGACCAGGCCAAACCATCCGATAAGATCAAATTGGACCCAACTAGGACTTGACTATCCAAACCAACTCAAGAAAACCTCCTTTATAAAGAAAAGGAGAGTCTTGGGGTGCAAGGCACGTTCGACAACTCTACTTTTACTTTCACCTAAACCTTTTGTTTGGCATAAGCATAGTCGTAGCACCACATCCCTGTGTGCAAATTTCTTTTTGTGCACGCGTTTGTTAGAGAATTCAATGGTAAAACTTGATCCATTTAATATCATTAAGACACTTGCATAATGTAATCACTAGTCTTATTTGTTATGTCGACATTCTATTACTGGTGGTGACGATATAAATTAAGTAGAAGCATTTTCCAACATCGTAATTGAAAATTTTAAAAATCCATGAATTGCATTGAGACATTGTTAAAAGTTTATTGACTAAATTTATTAATTTAACCTAGATGCTTTTTTTTTTTAATGTTTGTCTCTACCATTAATATCAAAATGCAAATATTTGAAATTATATTCTTACAATTAATAATTACATAAAATTAGATCCACTCAAGCGGGTCTCTAATTAAAATGAAATATAATTAACCATTAAATCCAAACCCGTGCAAATTTAATTGGGATGAAAAACACGTTATTATGAATTGATTTAATTAGGTTTAGTTAGTTGACCTTTTATCACTCT